ATATATATATATACACACACACACACACACATACATACATACACTATGTATAGTATAGTATATGTATATATGGTTTATGTATACATAGTATATGTATATATCACCCTTGATTTATCTATCCACTTATAGAGCTGACATTCTTACCCAAAGGCTGATATTTATTTTCATTTTAAAACTCTTCCTTAGCCAGCTAGGTATCTCTGATGAGTCTAACCAATGAGGACCTATAATTTATCAATCCAATTGTGTTTAACTAATTTGCTGTTCTTGTTCTTGTTACCATATCCAATTCTTTTTCAATAAATAAAATAAAAAAAAATAGCTCCAGCAAATGTTTGCTGGAGTTGTCATGTGCATCACATACACAACTGGAGATGATACTGAGTGGACTGTGTAGAAAGTGTTAAATTGCCTTCATTTAGTTTTAGAAGACCTAGAGAATAAGACACGCTTAAGACAACGATGACATAATTAGGACAGGAAGACTCATGCAAGATCCATTTGCTAATTGCATAAAATTAACTTTTTTTTTTTTTTTTGGTATTGGGGCTTGAACCATGGCCTTTCATTAAGTTACATCCTCAGCTTTTTTTTCTTTATTATTTTTGAGATAGAGCCTCACTGATTAAAGTTCCCCAGTTCTCTTATTTGGTTATAGTAGGGAGTTATTGTTACTATTATAAAACATAGGTTCTATTCCTGTACAAACTATTTTTATTCTGAATAATCTTTGAAAAAAATTCTACTCTTTCCTGTCATACTTTTGTGGTCACAAAAAAAAAAAGGAAGATGCCTTCTTCACAGTGTTATGGTATTGTAAAGTCTAAACAGAAAATATATTGTGCAAAATAAATGCTACTGATTGTGATGAATATGACAGTGAAGACTGAACAGTTTGTAACTCGCCTTCAGAAAGCAATGGATGATTAACAGAAGACTTCACTGAATGATGTTGACAGGAGGCAGGTGCTAGGGTTGACAGAGTGAACTACTGTTAAGTCATGAGGACAGTAATTCTAAATCATTTTTTAATAAAATTTGGTATTTAATGGAAATATTGCAATTGAATGAATGAAAAGCCAGACACAGAAAAGTTAAAGAATAGTTATGATTTTTTTAAATGATCAATTTAAAAAATGTATACCCTTGAATATGACTTAAGACTGCTTCTGTAGTTAGCACATGGCAGAAGCTCCAGCAGATAATTTGCTAGGCCAGATTCCAGAAAGCTATGTAGCCTCTGACAAGTTTCTTTGACTGTCATTTTCTGAAGGTTTGCTATGTCTGTGCACCCAGATGCCAGCCACTGTGCCAAGGGAATCCTAAATTCAGGTAGAAGTGTGAAGCATAGTTGCTATGGTCAGAAGTTTCAGCTGAGCCAATTCTTTGAGTCATGTATGTAAAAAGGTTCCCAGTGACTGCAGCTTCCAGAGTTTCTAGCCATGCCTAGGTATGGTGACTTCCTTGGGATCTCAGACATCTCTGAGCAGAGACAGCACATGACTGTGTTGTGCCCAAACTGAATTCCTGACTCATGAAATCCCCCAGCAAAATAAAATGGTTGTTGTTTAAACTAGTATTTCGGAATTAGTTCTGTTTAATAACTTAACAAAAGATATGAAATTGCAAAAATTATTTGGATTTGTTTCTAAGTCAAGTGAAGAATAAACATTAAATATCAAATGAAAACAGTTGCAAGGAAAAATAATAATAGAACAGAAAAGAAAAACAATAGACCGTTTCTAGAATCAGTTGGAATACATAACTGTCAAAAAAAAAAGAATAGAATAGAATAGATGACTGTCAGAATAAAATGAAGGGAAATCTGTGAAGAGCAAGAGTAGGAAAATTATGCAACAGCAGTACTTATCAGATGCCTAGAATGGCCTATACATAAATTATATACACAACTTTTGCTGCTTACGTTATCATGTTCTAGTACTTCCTTGATATTCCTTTGCACATTTGGAAAATCTTTTCAAATGAAAAAGCTTATCTAATATTTGTAATTGCTAATTCAAGACACTGTTGCTTTTGATGTTCTTAAAATTACAGTTAATGATGCTTGATTCATCGTCCACTCATTTCTCCTTCCTCCTAGAATGAAATGAGTCTGCTCGTGGTTTACAAAGAATATTTTAGAAATGTGGTAAAATCTTGCAGTCTACCATCTGTTCCGGGAGCTGTTTCTTTTCATAGAAAACATAAGGCTTATCAGCAACTGAAACTCTTCATTTCTTACCAAGGGGGACTGGACAGTGCCCAACAAGGTATAGCCATTTGCTCTTCCAGTGTTTTCTCAAAATCAATGAATAAAACATGGTGAGAGAAAATTTTAAAATACATTCTAAGCATGAAATCGAACTTATTTACTACTTTCTCTTGCACACATTTCAGAAACAGCAGAACAGTGTTCTCATTTAAGCACCTAATGATACAAGTAAACAATTACATCTTCTGCATGATCTTTTTCATGCTGTCTTTTTGTAAAGCTGGCAACTTCTCAGTTCCTGAAAACATCACCAAGTGATAGCACAAAAAAGTGGAGCTGCCTAGCACATTTAAACTTGTAAATATGTTCACTAACATTGTAGATTTTTCAAAATATATTAAATATCTATTTGTTACATAAAGAACTGACTCCTTTCCTCTTTCTCACTATTCTCTCAGTTTTCTATTTTGTAATATTTAAATTCGCTCTATTAGTGTACACTGTGCCCATCCTCTTCCCTTACCATTCCGTTCTCTGAATAATGTACTTGTAATTTTCTCATCTCTGGGAAGCCTCATCATGTATACTAAACTTTGTTTTATTTTACTTGAATTTTTAAGTATAAAAATGATCCTACTACAACTCATTTATATTTAAAATTGTTCTGTTGAAAAATCTCTATCCTTTCCCACAATTTTTTTATTGTTTCTCTCAAATAATGTTGAAATTGTTATAGATTTCTAAAATTTACATCCAGTAGTCAGTAGACCAGAAATGGCTTAGATGCATGTTTTGTTTATTCCCCACTGTGAGTTAATTTTATTGAGTAATTTCCTTATCAGCAATTAAAAATGATGAAAGAACCTAAACAAACTAAATGCCTTGTCTTCAGATAACCGGGTCTATAATAGCAGGGACGCCAATCTGATGAAGCTGAGTGGCAGACCTCTCTTTAAATAGA